GTTAACAGTACCCATTTCAAAAGGTTGTTAAGAGCACTTGCCATGGTACCTAGCATAAAATAAGTGCTGAAAACCATTGGCTGTTATTATTGTTGTTTTTGTTATTTTTATTAGTAATATTAGTCACGTGAGAGATCTTATGAGACATAGCAAGGAATTTTTATATTAATTTAGAAGCAGTGGAAAACCAAGAAACAGATTTGAATAGGGAATAACATGATAAACAATTTAGAACAATCATTCAAACAGCCCCATAGAGAATAAATCTAAGACGGGCAAGATTGAAGGCTGGAGGTCAATTAACAGGCTGCTGCAATAATCCAGACAACAGTTGGGGTGCCTAGGACAGTGGCAATGAAGATAAAAGGACACATATGAAGGATAATGAGAGGGAGAATTCAAATGTTTTGGAACTTGATTTGCTTTGGGAGTGAGATAGAGAATGAGTCAAACTTTACACGAGGTTTAGAGAATGAGGAAATGATATGCATTTTCAGAGACTGAAACCTTAGCAGATGGAGAAGGACTGGCTGAAGAAAGAATTTGTGAATGTGTGAAATATCGTCAACATCGTCGACATTTAAGGGACCTGTGACAGAATATACAGATCTGAAATGCAGGAAAATGAATAATTAAACACAGGGCTAGAGAATATTTTGTGTCCCTAGCAAAATGAAGGATATGTGAAGCCATCAGCATTTTTTTTAAAGAAGTCCCATTACCTATGTACAGAAATCTAAAAATCATCAATAGAATCTTGAATCCTGCAAAAGAAACTTAGAAGCAGCAGCCAAAAATGGAAAAAGATGAAAGAAAAGCAAGATGTTACAGAATCTACTGGATGAGACTCCTTCTAGAAAAAATAGTATCAGACAAGAGAGTCAAGTGGTGCAATAAATAAGGTAAGACTGATAAATGTCTTACGGATTTCCCATAGGAAGGTCACTGAGGACTTCACCGAGAGCAGCTCCTACGGAAGGCTGGGGCAGAAGTCAAAATGCAGTGGACTGAGGAATGAGAAGATAAATTATTTTAAAGAAGTTTGGCTACAGGGTAACCTTGGGTTTAGAACTGTTTCTTTGTTTTTGTTTTAATGGAAGGAACATGTATCTTTTCATGGGGGAGAGGGAAGGGGGGAAGAGAACCAGAGCTCAGGAGAGGAAATAGTCTCAATGAGAAGATGGCTATAGATGCAAGATTCTTTAAAGTTTGGGGCTTGGAAGATAGGAATGTTCCCATATTGGAGTATATAATTATACTCTGAAGTTAGAGATAAGACAATATTTAAGAGTGGAGGTAAAGATGGTGGGGTTAGACCAGTGGTTCTCAACCAGAGGGTGATTTTGTCCCCACTCCAGGCAACGTTTAGCAATGTCTGGAGACATTTTGTTTGCTACAACTAGGGGGTATAATACTGTCATCTAGTGTGTAGAAGACTGGGATGCTGCTAAACAGTGTCCAAGGCACAGGACAGTCCCTCACAATATCTAGTCCAAAATGCCAATAGTGCCAAGGTTAAGAAATCTGGGTTAGACATTTAAGGAGAGAGGAAAAGGTTTAAAATATCTACTGAGGAGAATGGGGAGCTCACAATGGAATCACGGTATGCTTGCTTTACAACAGTCAGGGCCCAGTGAAGAACGAAGACCAGTAATTTTAAAGTACAATGATCTACACTGTTGTATACTTTTCTCCAGCAGTGTTAAGACTGAATACAGGCTCAGAGAAGTGAAAAGTTAGACTGATAACATGAATGGGGTTTTACTAACTGGGTTTAATAGAAGGGCAAGGGAATTAAAGATACTGGTAAAAGATCCATGATCCACTGAAGTGATGGATCATGGTATTGAAGTAAAGTGTGAAACAAAAGGAAGCTGAAAGAGAGAAGACAGTGGGATTAGAGTGTCCTATAAAATTTAAATATGTGCAGTTAGAGTAATTTAGTATAAGATAAGGAAAGGTAAAATATTGTGGTCAGAAGTTAAGAAATAGCCTTAGTATTTATTTTTCAGCACCGTTAAGATAATGGCTATATCCAGACTGGGCCCAACAGGTAGGTAGATGAAGTGCACTGAAAACAACGGACACTGGAAATGAGAAGGACAGGACCTGAGAAGCTAAGGCACTGGAAAAAAAAATCACACAGTGCCAGTTACACACCATTCTTTGTATCCCTAAATTCCACATCATATCATTATTTAAACAATGATTTGAAAACATACATGGACCCAATGTATCATTGCAGCACTACATACAACAGCCAGGACATGAAAGCAACCGAAATATCCATCAACAGATGAATGGATTTAAAAGATGTCGTATATACATATATAATGGAATACTACTCAGCCATAAAAAAGAATGAAATAATGCCATTTGCAGCGACGTGGATGGACCTCAAAATTGTCATACTGAGTGAAGTACGTCAGACAGAGAAAGACAAATATCATATGATATCACTCACATGTGGAATCTTAAAAAATGGTACAAATGAACTTATTTACAAAACAGAAATAGAGTCACAGATGCAGAAAACGAACTTATAGTTACCAAGGAGGAAGGGGGGAGGGATAAATTGGGAGATTGGGACTGACATATACACACGACTATATATAAAATGGATAACTAATAAGGACCTATTGTATAGCACAGGGAACTCTACTCAATACTCTGTAATGGCCTATATGGGAAAAGAATCTAAAAAAAGAGTGGATATATGTATATGTATAACTGATTCGCTTTGCTGTACAGCAGAAAGTAACACAACATTGTAAATCAACTATACTCTAATAAAAATTAGAAAAAAACACATTAAACAATGAATAAACAAACTTCTCTCTTAAAACAGAGTTGGGAGACCAGAAGGGGGAGCCCTCACACCCTGCGACTACAGCTGAGCCCAACAAGAAGAAACAGTCTTCTCTCCTGGCAAGGACTCAGCAAATAGAAACCACAGGCTGTCTATTTACTCTAGCCCTCCCAACTTCCTTGCTCCTTCTATAAAAGTGTCCTTCCCTTGCTATGGGGGGACTTGCATGTGGCTCGTCATGGTTGCAGACCCCAAATTTCAATTGTCTGTTTATCCTGAAGAAACCTATCTTTGCTGAAGAAATATCTGGCAGTCTATTTGTTTTAGATCAATAATTACCAAACATATACAGGAAAAGTAGCAACAAAAAGAGACTATCATAATAATTGTAACAAAAAGGACTCTTTGTAGGATCTAACACTGGGAAGACCAAGGAATGAGTGACACAGGATGCATCAGTTGGGTGCTCAACAAGAGTGTAGAACCCAGCTCTCTAAACCTAGGGTTGATAGCCCAAGTCCCAGTAACACTCCTTCAGGATTCCATCTTACTGGCTTCTGCACTGAATGGATAAAGCATGAATGAAATTATCCAAGAGTAGAAGACTATTTTTCAGGCAAAACGTTGCCTCACGAGGTCAGACAATGCGAAGTTATGTACTCTTAAATATCCTGCAGGATGCAGCAGAGAAGTTAGGGCACAGAACTTAGGAACAGATTCTTAACAGGTGAATTTGAGATAGAAAGCAAAGAACACGGTGCTAAAACTTCCAGCAACAGAGGAGGAATACTCAGAAAGTCTACGAATAAAGGCAACTTGGAAAAGAAGATTGAAGTATAACCTTTACACCCAAGAGACAGCTGAGGTGGCTGACATTTCTTTCCAGCTTTAGACTGTTGCTCCAAATGCTACTGGTAGAATTTAGCACTGACTGCCATCAAAACGACCACGGGGAGCTTGCGAAAAACTGAAATTCCAGAACTTATCCCAGATGATTCACTAAATATTTACACATTCTAGGAATCTATGTATTTAACAGTTCATGTGTTTAACACAGGACTGAAATTTGGGAGCTCGTAGTATCTAGTACTTAATACTGTCACACCTTCATCTCAACTGATGAGTTGAGATGTTAATAGATGTCATTGTTAAGTCTCTTATAGTTCATATTCGTTGAAAACTTACGGCATGGCAGATGCTTTTCTAAGCACATTAAAATACATTTTTAAAGTTCAGTTGTCCCAACAACTTTACAGTGCAGATGTTATTGACATTTTCAATTTAAGATAAGGAAATCAGGCAATAAAACAGACATCTGAGCACTGGCAATCTGATACCAGAGCCTGTTCTCTTTACTGACTGTGCTATCATGATAGAACTAGCTTACTAAAATAAACTTTTTCCTTTTGCTTTCAACTAGAATTATGTATGTTGTTAAAAAGCCATGACATGTTGATCATAAACCCAGGCAGTTACACATTTTAATGAAAACAAGGAAACTGATGAAAACAATAAAACCACCTTGGCAAGCAAAACATTTCAAAGCACAAAACTGTCACAAAAATAATGGATGTCCTTAGGGGTAAAAGTAGTAAATAATTCCTACACACCTCTTCACACTCACGGCTACTTCTTGCACTTCCTTAACCCTAATATTAAATATGAGGTTAACCTGGACCTTGATCAGTTCCAAAAAGGGAGGCGGGGGCAAGAAACATCCATTCACTTCTTCAATATCATAATTGTGCTATCTTTTGCATATCTGTTTCTCACTTTTTCTTCTCTCTCTTCTTAATCTCTTTCTTTTCTTCATGTATTCAAAAAACTTTAGTAAGCATCTAGCATGTGCTGGGCACCGTGATTCTCAAGACAAGCGTCAACCTCACGCAGGGGATCATGTGCACCGGGGCGGGGTGCGGGGCTTTCTAAAGAAGTCACACTGATGCTGAATTTTAAAGGAGAAATAGAACTCGGAGAACGAAGGTGGGGAGGAAATCCAGAAGAGGAGTGGAGAAGGGGAACTAATTGTATTTCAAGTCAAAAGTGATGGCAAAACACAGGATTTCATTACAGCAAAATACGAAAATTAGCTTGAAAGTACTTTTATGCCTTCTCAAGGAAAGCACCTTTGTATGATAAAAATCTGTGGCAATCAAATGTATTTTATCAAACTGGATCTCTGAATACTTACATTTAATTCATTTTTTAGCATTTCTTTGAGACGATGACCTACGTGTTCTTCATCTTCTTTTGTGTCCATAACTACACAAATTTGTTGCGAAATTCTTTCTGAGATAAAAAAGAAAAATAATATTGTTTCAAACAGAATATGGAACAAAGCCCTAGTATGCTGAAACTTATACTAACCCGCTGTTCATAACTATTGAACAAGAATAGGGAGGTGTGGGCTTTAGGCCAAGTGGAGTGACTGGGACTGCACATAGATGTCCTGGACTCAAATGACCATCCAAGCCAGTAAATCTATATCTTTAACATTTTGTGGGTGGGTAAATAGGACATCATGTAAGCAACAGAAATAAGGATCTTTGGATATATTTGAAGAGAGTAACTGCAGGTGACAGCTACTTGGCTCAAGAATTCAATCCTTCCACATTTACAAGGAATCTCCCAGAATCTGATGGAATCCCATCTCCCAGGCAAATGCTCTGGTTAGGCCATAAGATGTCTCCTGCGTACAGCTCACTGTGCCACCTGGTGCCCGGGCTACGCACAGCATTTTCCTTGCCATTCCAGTCAATTCAATTAAATTCCTGCCTGTTTAACTATTATCACAAGTGAAAATAGTCAAAAATAGATTTTCTTCGAATTTGGAAGGCTTGAGATGATATAATTTAAAATCATAAGCTGTATGACATAGTGATATTCACCTTTGTAAACCCTGGATGCACTCTCCCCAAATACGTGCAGTCCTCCTTTACAGTAAACAGATCTAAAATACTAAGAAATAGCTATACTGCTGCCAGTTAAGAACACATTTCATGGTATTATGTCATGCATTTTTTTTTAAAGTCTAATTTTAAATAGGAGTCCCAAACCAAAAGTTAGTTTAACTTAGGACCTAGCTGCTTCTTACACTGGCAACTCCACATAAACAGGCTCTCTAGAAACACTATTCTAGTAATAGTTAATGATTCTTCAAAAAAAAAGCTGGGGAGAACCAAACTTTTTTTTCTTTTTCAATAAATCATAGCTGTTTTATTAATTCTAAGAGAGATTTTTGTTTTGTTTTGTTTTGTTTGGCCTCGCCACACGGCATGTGGGATCTTAGATTCCCAACCATGGATCAAACCCATGTCCCTGCATTGGAAGTGTGGAGGCATGGAGTCTTAACCACTGGACCACCAGGGAAGTCCAAAACATTTAAAATAATAATGTCACCAGTTAATGGTATTCCTGTTACTACCTACCTCCCACTTAACAATAATAGTATATGTTCCAAGAGCCATACCCGATATTCACACTATTTCTCATGATGACCCTGCAAACAATATTACTGTGAATCTATGTGACAGATTCAGGTTCCTACCAGCCTGAAAATGTCCATAATTTTAAGTTACACAAGTCTAATACAATTAAATATAATTAAGAACACAAATGGCTGGTACAGATATTAAGTGTTATGGAACATCACTGTGATTAGAAAGGTAAATTGGTTGACAAGATTAAATAAATCTTTATGCTAAAATGAGCTAGGAGCTCACTCTTGAAAGGTAAACTTTGCTTAGTAGAGCCAAGAGGCTTTGAAAGTGATTAAGAGAAACAAGATTTTTTAAAAATTTAATGTATGGGGGTAGAAAGAGTACAAGCATAAACTTATTGTGACAAGAGACAAGATAAGTACTCAAAAAATCACTGAATCATTTAGCAGTGAGCTATGAAGTGGTATACACTCGGTGAAGCCAGAACATGAAGGTCCCATGCTTTCCTGAATATCCAGAGTGTCCTGAAAGCTTTAGATGTAACTATAGTATGAGCAGTAGCTTTTGAAAACCAAGTTAATTCAAATGTATGTATTGTATTCTCTTAAATATTTGGAGAAATTTGGACTTTGTAATGTCCTAGCAAAAATCCAGTTACATTTCCAAATGCTTCTTTCACATACACCAAAAACATTACAATAAAAAACTTACTGTGTAAGTACAAAGTAATTTACTACATATATAATATGATGGCACCACAATAATTCTAATTTATAAAATAATGCATAAACAATACTTTTTAAAACAAAACACAACATATGCAGATTTCCCTTCCTTGTTTCATCATACATCCTTTATAGAATTCCAAGCTCTATCAAATGTAAATCAACAATAAATTAAAACTGACATTATCCCCCTCCAAAACTGAGATACAGTTAGCCCTTGAACATGGGTTTGAATTGCAAAGTGTCCACTTATAAACAGATTTTTTTCAATAGGAAATAGTACAGTGCTATACAATCCTCAGTTGGTTAAACCCACAGATAGGGAGGGCTGACTATAAACTGTATGTGGATTTTCAATTTTGTGAGGGTCAGTGCCTCTAACACCCATGTTGTCCAAAGATCAACTGTATACATAAAATGAAGTAACTCAAAATCAATTTGGCATTAACTTTTTGCCACGTGTCAGCTGTTCTAAATAGCTTTTTGTTCGGGAATCTTTGCATTACCATATAAATTTTACAATAAATTTGCACAAAATCACCTGCTATTTATTTATTTATTTACTTTTAAGTATTTTGGTCATGTGCGCGGCTTGAGGGATCTTAGTTCCCCTATTAAGGGATGGAACCGGGGCCCCCTGCAGTGGAAGCGCGGAGTCCTAACCACTGGACAGCCAGGCAAGTCCCTCACCTGCTTTTTAGACAAACATGACATCTTTAAAATCACGAGCCTTTCAACTATAAACATAATACATTCCTCTATTTATTGAGATCTTCCTTAATTTTTCTCAGTGTTTTACAGTCTCCAGTGTAGAGTCTTTGTGCAACTTTTGTTAAATTTCTAAAAAACATTATTGATGCTACTGTAAATAATATCTTTAGTTGCATTTTCTACTTGTTGATGTACAAAAATATCTTAAGATTTCTATACAGTCTTTGCATTTAGTAACTGCTAAATTCACTTACAAAATTCTAAGGGTTTACAAGTTATTTCAAATTTTTAATATATACAAACATGTCAATTGTGAACAAAATTTTATTTCCTTTGTTCCAAATCATAATTTTTTAATCTGATAATGCAACCTTTAGAATTTTGCTTCTATGTTCATGATAAAAATTAGCCTGTAATTTTACTCTTATAAGGTCCTTGTCAGAGGTTTACTAAACATTTACACTGCCTTCATGTAATGGGTTGGAAAGTTCTCTCTTTTTCTATTTTCTGAAGAAATGTGTATGACTGCTGTTATTTCTTCTTTTCAATGTTTTTGTAAAATTCACTGGTAAAAGCCAACTGTCTTTGTGGTAGCGTTTTTAATTAGATTCAGTATCTTAAATGGATGAACAACTTTTCCTAGTTGTATTTGCCTATGAATGTGTTCATTTAACCTAAATTTAAGTCTATTAGCATAAAGCTATGGACTGAATATTTCTGTTCCCCCAAAATTCATGTTGAAGCTTTAACCCCCAATGTGATGGTATTAGGAAGTAGGGTCCTTGGGAGGTAATTAGGTTTAGATGAGATCATGAAGTGAAGATCATCTCATAGGGTGAAGTCCACATGATGGGATTAGTGCCTTTATAAAAAGAGGAAAAGACACCAGAACCTTCCTCTCACATCTATGTGAGGATTCAGCAAGCAGGTAGCTGTCTGCAAGCCCAGAAGAGAGCCCTTATCTGGAAAATGAATCAGCTAGCACCTTTATCTTGGAATTCCCAACTTCCAGAACTGTGAGAAATAAATTCCTGTTGTTTAAGCCATCCAGTCTATGGTATTTCATTATGGCAGCCCAAGCTGACGAATAAAGTTGCTCACATCTCATTGCAATGTCTATAGGATCATCACTGATGCTTTTTTCATTTCTGATAATTATTTGAGCCTTCAATATTTTTCATGATCACTTTTGCCAAGCTTTTATCAATTTTATTAACATTTTCAAATAAAAGTTGTGTTGATTCTCTCTTATGCTTGTCTTCTAACTTATGAATGTTTAGTATTTTCTTCAATATCTTCTTCATTCTACTATCTATAGATTTAGTTCACTGTTCTAATTTCTTACAAAAGAAAAAAAATAGTGGGCTTTTGTGCTTTTCCTTTATTCTAATACAGTCAACCCTTGAACAATACAGTTCAAACTGTTCGAACAGTTCGAACTGCGAGAGTCCACTTACACCTGTTTTGTTCAATACGTACATAGTACAGTACTACATGAGTGTGATTGGTTAAATCTACAGATCCAAAACTCTGGACTCAGAAAGCCAACTGTAAAGCTATCCACAAATTTTACACTGTGAGGAAGGTCAGGTTCCAAACCCCATGTTGTTTAAGGATCAACATTTAAGGCTCTAAATTTTCCTCTAATAACAGCTTTATTTATACATCAAACATTGTGATATTTTTCAGTTTAAATTTTTTCATTTTCAATTTAAAAGATTTCATTCATTTTTTTCTCACCTTACACACCTCTAGTTTCCACTGTGATTTCTCATTTGACTCATGGATTATTAATTTTATTGTCCTTATTAGTCTGCTATTGTGCAAGAAGCTGCCATAAATTTAACAGATTAAAACACCCACTAAGTATCTCACAATTCTATAAGATAGAGAAGGAGAAAGCTAGAGAGAGAAAGAGCAAAAGACAGCATGAACATACACAAGAAGAAATGATAATGAGCTCACACATAAACAAATGATAGAGCAAATGGGGCAAAATGTAAAAAATCAGTGAACTGGTGATCTGGGTAAAAGACAGATGGAAGTTATATGTACTATTCTTCCCATCTTTGAAGTCTGAAAGAATATTAAAATAAAAAAATATTCTAACCCCCCAAGAAACAAATAAGATACAATTAAAAATAGATTTATATACACACACATACACACATATAAATAGTAGAGGACTTTAAAATTCATCTCTCTAAATTTTTAATTACATGAGGTGATGGATCTGTTACCTAACCTTATTTGTGATAATCATTTCACAATATATACATGTAACAAACCATCATATTGTACAACTTAAAATGTTTTACATCAATTATATATCAATAAAGCTGGATAAATTTATTAAAAAATTAATTCTGTTCATTAAAGATCAAGTGAGCAAAACATAAATAAGGACCTAGAT